AATCCATAAACTATTTAGCTTTAGTAAAAAAATGGAACATAGGCCCAAGCAGACACACAGTTTATTAAAATGAATCTGGCTTGTAAGTGAAGGTATCACTGGCTGGTGACACTCCGTAACCTGAGTCGCCACTTTGAGGTGATCAAGGGAGGTTTGTTTAAAAGTTGTAAACTGTGGCCTTCTTATCAATTGATATGTTTTAAAACTGGTTTGTTCATTGACTCTACATTCATTGGATTGTTTAAGAGACATTAATGTTCCTCACCCCTGTGAGAACACCAGATTCTGGTCCTGTGTGTTTGATAGGACTTCAGAAGTCATCAGAGGACTTATTGTTGCTAATGGCTCTAGTATATCGGTCTTTAGCTAAAAGAAGCTACTCAGGGTTCCAGCACAGAAAATGCATTCTACTGTATAGTCTCTCACACACAAATATTTTTTTTAATGCAGATTACTACTGTACTTACATGACTGAAAAAAATCCTAATGGAAAGAAAGATGAGAACAGTGGTTGGAGGTAATGAACTGCAATGATGCATTATCACTTTTTCCCTGCAAAACAATAAAAAATGCAAAGTTGTATGCTACTCATATCTTGGAAAAGGTACAAAGACATGTTTCCAAATGGCTCCTGGCTCCTAAACCTAAAGCAAAAGACATATAAGAGTACAGACTGGAGGTATTAGTCATGTCAAAGCTAGTGGACAAGAGAGTAAGAGGTGATATGATCACATACACAATTGTAACAAATTGTCAAAAAAAATAATTTTTTTATAATCCAAATGATTGAGAACAAGAGGCCAAAGATTAAAGCTGAGTAAGTAAGAGTGCCAAAACAATTTGCATAAATAATTTAAATCAAATACAGTGTAACCTCGAGTGACGAGCGGCTCCAGTTACGAGCATTTCGAGTAACGAGCAAGCCACTGGCAGAAAATATATCTCGACTGACGAGCTTTTGCTTGATTAACGAGCGTTCCCACTGATTCTTGGGCACCTCTAACGAGAGTTTTGTTGTTGTTTCACAAGACGAGTTTTCCACATGACGAGCTCGGTGCTGGAACGGATTAAACTCGTTAATCGAGGCGCCACTGTAATTTTAACTCAGAAAGACGTGTATGCTGAAACTGTTAGAAGCTTCAGGATTTTATATGGCAAATGAATATTGGGAAAATGGGGGGGGGGGACACTACAAGCTTAGCTCTTATATGTGTAACAACAATTGCACACAAATACAGTGTTAAATATGATCTATATTAGTATTATGGATATTGATGGCTGGATTATTCTTATGGTACTAGACAATATTGGTGTCTAACCAAATTGATGCATTTATTCCATACAGAAACCCAGTGTTGAATGTAATGAAATGCCTCTTTCTGGATGAGCTCCTGTGGCCTCCCAGAAGCTATATCGCAGAGATTGCTTCAGCCAAATGGACCACATCAGATGCAGGAGTTCTGTTTGGTTTCCGGGGACCAGAGCCAAAACTCGGGCTCCCTCATAAAGTGGGAAGAGTAGTGACATTTCACCACACACTGGGAAAGCATCCAGAAAATCATTGAAGCTTTACATACATCTTAATCGTTAACAAAGACCAAATCCTTAAAAATACCTAAAAACTCTGCAAATGATGCACACACAAAAAAGAAAAAACATTAAAAATTAGCATGAAACTCATAGTACCGAATACCACCACCAAATGGCCTGGGTTATGCACGCAGCCAGTTCTGGAGCTGACAAACAGGATATTGATGAACTGACTAATCTGGTAGGGAGGGACAGAGTCAGGGAGCCACCCTGGTGGCTCTCTGACTCCACAATAAGCTGACAATAAGCCAACACAATAACCTGGATAGAAACATGCACATGAATTAAAAACTTAAATATAAAACTAAGTACAAAGCAAATGGCTCCACAAGATCAACTCCAAGGATGGCTGGCACTTCTCTTGAAGCCATAGGGCTTAATACATCTGAAAGACCCAGAAGAGTAGTGTCCAACAGGACATTAGCAAAAGAACTGGCACGGTAGATAGCTGTATGCAGAAGCCAGGCTTCCTGGTGGTTGCATTCGGTACTATGAGTTATGCATTAATTTTAAATGTTTTTCTTCTGTGTGAATCATTTGTGGAGTGTTTTGGCATTTTAAAGGATTTACTCTTATGTTAACCTTCCATATATCTGTAAAATTTCAGTGACTGGATGCTTTCCTGGTATTGTGGCAAATTGTCACTTGCGCTCTGTGCCACTGTGAGGGGGTGGGCTCTGGTTCCCAGTAGGCCAGACAATGCCCATGTCTGATATGATCCATTGCATAAAGCAATTTCAGCGAGAGCTTCAGGGAGACATGGGGGCTCCTCCAGAAATACCCAAAAAGCTTAAATATGTTCTTAGGCACCATGTTAAATTCATTGCCACATGTTTCACACATATATATGCTAAATTTATTGCACAAAAATGCACAATAGATTAGGGAGGCATAACACAAGTTAATTAGTGGGTCAGAGGTGGGGCCTAGGAGTTGGAACTCATTCCCTGCAAAAACAAATAGGTGAGTAAACACACATATTCGTGCGCACATCGCCTAGGAGCTGGAGCCTCTTCCTGCAAATAAAATTAGTTGAGAGCTGTTCACTCACATGTATACTCTTACTTGCATGTATACACATATAAACTTGTACAATATGCAAACAAATACAGGTACGATCAGATACCTTAACACACCTACAAACGTGCACATTATTTCAAATACATATAGAGATCTGTAAACCTTTGAGAGCATGCTTGCTTTGCACGGCATTATTCTGAATGAAATAGAATTCATTGTGTGATTTATTGACTTGCTTACTTAAGTTCTCCAGACTTAAAAACTGTACAGGTATGAGCTGTTGTCTTCCTTGTGTGCCGCACTAATAGGAGCACCTGAGGTAGTGTGCGCAGGCGTACAGCTGGTACCTGTGGGTTGTGCATGCTGACTAGTGCCCACCAACCTCCCCTGGTCAGGACAAACTTCTCTCTCACCGCCTCACTCGACGTGACCGACTCCACAGTAGGGTTATATTGTCTAGCTTTTATTGTTTTTGTCAATCTGTCCCATGTTGTGAGACCTACACATTAAACTTACAGTATTTAAAGTTCCTAAAGTAACACTCATCACCAGTCAGAAGATTCAACAAGACTGATTCTTCCTGATGTGTGAAATAACCTACTGCATCAAACCAGTGGCCCAATGCCTATTTTATATCCCAGTTTATTAAATTCCAATAGATATTGTGTTTTATGTATATACGGTAAAAACTTTGCCATCTGTTGTTTTATATGTAAAAATTGTGCATCAGTTATTGCTTAAATATAAATTAGTATTGCTGTTATTTAATGTAATCCTAAAGACAGTGTTGCATATTGTTTCCTCCTCCATCCCACCCCAATTCTGGTCTTATCTGCAACATGAGGAAAATGTTTGATAAAAACTTTAAAGTTGGATGTATGACAAAGGCTTTTCTTCAAGACCACTGGCCAAATTCTGAACTAATTAATTGCTTATTACACAGATAAATAAATTATTGTCTTTAATATTATTTAATATTTGTATACTGTAGTAAGATGTTCATGTAATCAGTAGTAAGTGTGCAAATATAAGGGACATAAATCATGATTGCTTAAATATGTCTATACTTATTATATAAAAGCTGTTCATCACATCACAGTTATTTACACAAAGAATACAATGACATGCATTAATATTAATGTTGAAAACATTTGGCAAATAAAGAAAATATAAATATCTTTGGTGCATGTTTAAATGATTGTTGAGGATGCATTTAACATCAGACTTTGGCCAGTTTGGTTCTTCAGACAATGAGGTCATACAGTGCTAGTTGGATAATAGGACGCATCTGATAAATAGTAAAAAACCTTTTGATTTTTAAAAGCCTCTTTTTATTTGGTTATTGCCTTAGGCATTTTTTTTGTGTGCTATTGATTTAATCCATTCATTTGTTTCTCATGCTCTTGATAAGGGCTGACAGTAATAGTTTGATTTAACTTTTTGGTTATTCATCCATATAGCACTGCGACACTTTTAAGCCGTTGACAATAAATTGACGAGATACCAATTAAGATAGTCCTAAGATGAGTACAATCTCGGGATGAAGTGAGTTTTTGCGAAGGGGAGAGCTGCACAAAAATTTAAAGATATTTTTTACAGTAACTTGCTCAAAAGTTTTGAACCATAAAAACAGCTACTAATGAAAGGTGACGCAAGATTGAAGATAGACTCGCTACACAACAGCAGTTTTTGCATGATCGCCTGGATCGAACTCTCTTGTCATTGCATTACTAGTTTATTTTGTTCTCAGATCAGAAGTTCAATGTCCTGGTGTTCTATTTTATCAGTAATCCTACCATTAGTTTCGTTTCTTTATAGCTTGAGTTCTACTATGAAGTTTCTTTCTTGGCAGTGCTGCAGTTTAGTTTTGACTGATACAAAGTCTTACCGAATTTTCAAATGTGTAAATATTCTCTCTGCGACGGTGACAAGCAGGCCTAATTGCCTGTGCGTGCTGGCGTGCACAACTGCAACAAATATTGCCTTACTAGTTCTATCTAAGAGACTCGATCTGCGACTCTTTGACAGACAGAATATCATCGTACATAGCCTTTCACATTAACATGACAGAAGACCACATTTGTGATATCATTTGATATCAGTTGAATGCCTATCCCTTATTAGACAGACGCCACCTAATCTTTCCTCATTTGATAGAAATAGAAGAACGATATGAGCCTTTTCTTCCCTTTTTCAACACCATTCACTTGGTTCAGTAAAAGGCCAAGATCAGAAAGACTGTATATTCTGTCGTAGGCATAGTGATGACTGCCAGCAGTTCCTCTACAGATAGCGCCGTTGAGATTTATTATATTTGGTGAACAATTTGGCCCCGTTTGCAATGCGCTTTGCTCCTTGAATTCGGTAACGCTGAGCTCTCCCACTCGCAGCCATCACTGCCATTCCCAAGATCGTATGTGAGACCATCTACTCCCTGGGCCTACACGATGAAGCGCCGGTGTGGAAGATCATGGACCAGTACGGCAAGATCACCGTTGTTCTCTCCTGGGACCCCTGCCACCGGGGGGACCACCGCCACGGTAGGTACCACCTAGGGGCCTAATCCACGGTAGGTCACCACCAGAAGGCCAAAATCATGGTAGGTCTCCAACAAGAACCACAATTGAAACAGACCTTTACCAAAGGCTGTGAATGGTAGGTCACTTTTGGTAGGCCACCAACAAAGAGATACAACTACAAAAACATCATCTTCAGGTCTCACAACTATGGTAGGTTACCATCGAAGTGCAAGAACAATGACATAACAGCATGAGGGCACTTTGGTAGGTTACCACTAAGAAGATTCAATTACTGTATGAACAATTTCCACCAGCCACACTTATGCTTTGCACCACCACAGAGCAGTAGTCTTGGTAAGTTATCGCTGGTGGGTCATTGTACTAAGTTGCTTACTATGGAGTGTCAGTCGTAGCAAATTACCAGCAAGAGTATATAATAATAGTGGGTCTCCAGCAAGCAAAACAACACTTGAAGGTATCTAATAGTATACTGTATGGTATACTGTATGCCTTTACATTATACAGTACTGTATATTTACTTTTGTGATTTTCATTATAGTTCCCATCAATGCCCACAGTCATGGTAAAGCAACCAGCATGAGACTATTATAATAACTCACCATCCAGTCACATACTTGTTAAATATTTGGAGTGCCTATTTGCAGCTGAACACCCCATAAATGAAACCGAAGCAAGCAATCACAGTCATGGTAGGTCACTCTAGGTCACCATTATTGTAGGCTGCCAATGAAGGGATCTTGCTATAATCATGTTAGACTGCCATGAAGATGCATAATTTAGCTCTAAGGCACAGAGCAGATTGTAAATAAATGGTAAAGGAAACGATTGCAGAGCAGGACCTAACATACTCCCAGCCAGCTTAGATGAATAGAATCCCTTATTAATGTGATGTGTAAACAAACTAATTAATTTTTTTATTAACAAAGACACCCTTGCTTACTTGTTAGTTGGTGTTGTGTTGTTCTGTCTTGCCAGCACATTGCTGGCTGACACTATTTACAGTAGGCTCACTGTGTATCCATTCACTATTATTCCTGAAGCTGCCATAATGAAGTTTTTTTTAATAAATTGAGGTCTCTGCTCTGCATTTTTTTTCTTATGCAAAACTGTGATCATTGTAAATTACTTACAAAAGAACTAGTCCATTGTAGGCATTCATAAGATGCATGTCACAATGATAGATGCATTCCAGTGGGTTTGTGAAAGGATAACTCTAAAAGGTTATAGATACAAGGATATTGTTGGCCATCATTGGGGGGAGGGGGGCCACAGCAATCATTAATTAAATTAAATTAAAATTAAATTATAGCTTTCTACAAGAAATTATAATTATGGTAGGGTATCACCATCAGTTCTTGACTGCTAAAAGCCATTTTCAGGGTGAAATAATTATGGTAAGTCTCCACCAGATGTTGATTTGTGGTAGATTAGTTATAGCTGGGAAAAATAAGGAACTGTACTTAATGCCACTGTTGTCATGGTAAGTTAATTCAGTTATGAAATACTGTAATATTCTTGATTTCAAGCTTTACCAGCTGTTACACAACACAGATCATTTCGTTGTGAAATAATATAATACCAAAAAAGCACAACTGACCATTGCTAAGAAAACAAGAAGGAAATAAAGTATTTTTTCATATATTTCTATCATCTCTATTAGCAAACTTATAATTTTTAAGTAATTCATGAGGGGGACATGATGTTCACTTTTTAAACACATGATGTGTTTGTGCATGATACATTGGGCCAAAAGAGAAATACATGTGATTATTTTGTCGCTGTGTTACTTAATAATTCTTCACTTTTTTATGAATGAGTTTGTTAAATTTGTAAGAATCATTATTCAGATTAACTACAATACAGATTTTATTCTTATAAAAATAATGACACTAACAAGACAACAATTTACAAGTAATACAGAGGTACTGTACAGTGGAACAGGTTTTTGTTTATGTTTAGTGCAATTCGAATGAATTACAATTTATTTAAATGCAATCGAGATTGTATATATTAAATTGGTTGTGAATGGTATTCGCCCCTCTTTGCTTATTTAATTGGCTTGTGATATTTGCTAATTGCCACATTAGATCGTTACTTAAAAAGTAGCATTGAATGTAATGAAATGCCCCTTTCTGGATAAGCCCTGATGGCTCCCTGAAGCTATATCACTGAGATACATTTCTATTACTAAGTCATATCAGTCTTAGGCATCCTGTTGGCCTACTGTGGACCAGCACCAAAACCTGGTTGGACCCCCTTGAAAAGGCACAGAGAGCAGGTGATTGTTATGATCATCCTTACTAGGAACACAGCCAGAAATTAGGCGAGACAGTACAGACAACTGCAATGTTCATGAAAACAAAGCACCAAAACTCAACAGATACCACAAAATATTCACTCAAAGCAAAATGGTTCATTTGAAACTGGGTATGAAACACCCCTTAGTGCACAGAGCTACCAACAGGTGGTGATCTCTTTCAAGTCTGGCAACTGCTCAGTCCTATTGTTGACACTGGCTTTGGCTAGTTTTCCCAAGATTCCTGTTGTAACGAGTCGTACTTCTTTTTGAAGATAAGTGATGGCCATCCATTGGACTTAGTCCTGTGTGGGCCATTTGCTTGTGTATCATTCCTAACGTTGAGTATTTGCTCACAAGCGTCTGTTTGCAAGCCTCACTTATTATATAGACTTGGTCTGATATGGTCTACAAGCTGCATGTGTTTAGGGTGGCCCTTCATACCTGCCATAGCATTGTTTGCTTGGACACCTAAAACTCCCTTAAAAGTTAACTGCTGCCCCCCTTTCACTCCTCAAACCAATCACTCCTCAAACATTGGTTTTTCCTTTTTTTACTTCTCTAATAATTTCCTCCTGTCTAGTTTAATTTGCTTCCAATTTTAACCTGTCTGGCAATAACTGCCACATTAACTTCATTTGTGGTGAAATCAGCAAACCTTTGATGAATACTACTATGCCTCCTGTCAGCCTTGAAAATAACTGACTAGGGGTCAGCTAGTGGCTATGTTTATCATACTCCTTTAATGAACACATCCACTCTGCCTCCTGCAGCCCTGTAACCAAACTGACCAGGATCTGGTTGTGAATATTTATCATAAAGTGTTCTTTAACACTTTAAATTCACTAGTTTTTTATATATATATATATACCTTTAGTTTCACTATGCTGTGCCATTTGTATCCTGGGATACTGTTCACATAACCAGGATTAGATATCCTCAATAGGGATACCTTATAGTTCTGTCATGTTTATTTTTCTCTTTCACATTCTTTATTCTTATGACTACCTGCTCATGAACATTCCCACTACTACCAGCACTCCACACTTTCACTCCTCCAACTACCCTAACAACACTCACATTCCCTGTTACTATTACCACCCCACCTAACCAATGCAATGGCCCTATCTGCTTATTCCCCCTATTCTCACTGCCCTCTCACTTTTTCTCCCCTCAACCCACACCCTTAAACACCACTGATCCACCCACATCACTTTTAACCATATACCCACCCCACCAACAGCCACCACATCAACCATACACCTACCATAGCCTCATCACCTACCCATGAATCTGGTTTCAATCTGAAGACCTGGAACCTCTTATTGAGTTCTTCACATACTTTGTACACACTGAGTGTTCTGTTCTTTCATGTGATTGTAACGTGGGGGACAGGAAGGATCACTCATGAAGAATGACAAAAAAGTGTATGAAAAACTCAGTAACAGGTTTTAAAAGGTCTACAAGTTGGAATCAGATTGGTCATCCAAGACCCAAGAAGAGAACGACAACTGTTGGTCAGAAGCTACTTTATACAGAGTATGAGTTAATGAAGAAAAGGAAAAAGACACCAGGAGGAACTAGATGTAGCAAATGTAGTAGAATTAAACACAGACACCTCAGCTGGTGTCTGAGGTTATTGAAGGAAGCTGCACAAATTTTATTTCCTAGAGTTTTTAACATAACACTAAGAAGCTGGAGAGCTCCTAGAAATCTGTTAAAATGTAACGATAGTTCCAATGTTCAGAAAGGAGACTTATGAAAAACTAAATTATTGACTAGTGACATGGAGAGACAACATAATTGAAGAGAAGGGAAAATCATGCATGTCAAACTTAATTGAATGCTATAATAGGATCACCAAAATAAGGCAAGAAAACGAAGAGTGGGTGGACTGCATTATCCAACAGCCCATTCTCATGAGCATTCTCATGACCATCAAGAAATGGTCGTACCAAAGTGCCTTATCCTAACTTACCAGAGGACCCATGAATAGAAAATAGGATATTATGTAAATTTTGTGAGCCTCTACCATTTTCTAGTGCAACAGTTTTTGCTATACTGTACATCAAAATACAAGTAGAATAAGAACTGAGAACTGTAGAGTGCTACAGGAAGACCTTGGTAAACTTCAGGAGAAGGAAGATCAACAAAATCGCAATTCGAGGCCAAAGTCGTAAGTTGAGTAAAATTTTCCAACGAAATTGGGATCGTAACTCAAAAAATTTGTAAGTAGGGGCATTCATAAGTCAAGGTTCCACTGTATAACCTAATTATTTAAATGTCTGATTTTTTCTTAGTTTTTTGCAGTAATATTATTCAATAGTTGTAGTGTAATACATTTATATAATAAAATATGTGAACCATCGCTATATTCAAAACTTTAGTGATTCATAAAACAAACAAATAGTTTTGCTATTATTACACTATATACACAGATTATATATAAGTACAGTATCTGCATGTTTTCCTCACCATAATGAACCACTACATTGGTATTGTGAGTTAAAACAACAAGAGTGGCCGCTACACACCAGCCAACAAACACATCTTCTTTCCCTCACTTTCCAACTTTCCTCCTCTCACCATACTGTTTTTGCTTTTATTACACTTTATTCAGATGTTATGTATAAGTATATACAGTGGTACCTCAGCTTACGAATTTAATCCGTTCCCAGAGACTGTTCATAACCCGAAAATTCGT